TTGACTGCATATATGCATCATATATTCTAAGAGATTTTTTTTTTAACATGCTGTTTTTCCTTTAATATTATGACTGAACTTTTAGCATAGGTATCGATCAGTTCTAGTCAGTTGGACAGAGATTCAGGTTCAAAAGTTCGCCTGATTCATGCTGAAGCTTTAAACAGGCTTTTTACTTTCTTCTGAGAATGCCCTATAAAAGAAATCAACTTGAGAGGTTTGTTCTTAATTGAAAAAGGACTAATAATACTAACGCGTCCTTAAAAAAAAAATTCTAGGATTTCTCTTAGTAAGGATTAGCCACCTGGCTTAATTTGCAGCCCTCCCACTCCTGTATTTGTGTAGAAAATCGTTCATCCTCTTCACCATCCTTGAAAGAGGGATAATGGAAGGTGTGACAAACAGGGGCAGAAGTACAGTCGATAATTTGCAGATAGACAACAAAAGAAACTGGGCTGTGTCTGATGCTGGTTGTTGTGTTTCTTTTTCCTTGCTCCTCTCATCGCGATGCCATCCAAAAGGGAATTCAGAGCTCTAGTGATTGAGATGGTGTTGGCCACCGATATGTCCTGCCACTTCCAGCAAATCAAAGCTATGAAGAATGCTTTGCAGCAGCCAGAAGGGTGAGTCGCTTCACAACACCGCAGTGAGGGACTGTGTTTCAGCTGATGCTTTGCCATTGTGTCTGACTTCAAAAGCACCTCTCCAGAGGCCCTGGCTCTCTTTGATGTCCACATCAATTCTTTTTCTGCCGTTGAATTTTGAATGAATTCACTTAGGAGTGGACTGGCACCCCCTATACACACATCTCTCTTCTGTGCTGGCCAACCAAAGCCTGCAAAGGTCACCGTGTTGAGATAAGCCTCCCTGGGCATTTCCCTGGGCATATCAGGGTAACATCAAGGACATGATCCAGCTGAGTGACCGCTGTGGCTTAAGTATGACTCAAGGTTATAAGATCTGCAGAACACAACTTAAGCATTGTCCTTCTGCAGATGGTGTCAGCTGCCACCTCTGCAAGGGGCCTGCTCCGTAACTAGAGGACAGATGAAAACAACTTGAGATTCATTGAGAGAAGGACTAGGAAATAGCAGATGGAGCAGTATGTGGAAGGCCTTTTCTTCTTCCCAGTATGCCACTGGGAGCTGTAATATTGTGTCCACAGCTCTTCTCCATAAAATTTGTTTTATACTGCAGAAGTCTCTGAGTGATGGTAATTTTTTCACCCTTGACACAGGTCTGTCCAGAGCCTGCCGGAATTATACTTGTATCAGACCAGAGTGTGGCAAGCCACTTGGTCCTCTCAGAAGCTACAACTCTTCCAGCTATTTCATACATTCAAAAGCTGGATTTAAAAAACTAGACTACCTATCCCAAGAAAACATTGTTTACTGGGTCCTTGGGCTAGCCTCTCAGGTTATGGTTTTAAGAAATTGCCAGCCTTTTTTTTGTTCTGTGGAACCAGATGCAAGAATGTGCTTCTGACCTCACACTAGTTTTCTAGCAGGGGAACATTTATCAGGTACTGTCTAGACTCATCAGTGCCCCAAGATCAGGCCCTGTTTACTACAGTAAGATGGTAGGGACCAACTTCTCTTCTGAGCTGCATAAAATGCAGCCCGGCTGAAATGAGGAACACAGCAGCTCTTCAGACCTGCTTGTGCAGAGAAAAAAGCCTGGGAAGGAGCTCAGCAAGGCTGAGCAAAGTTTCTTTTTGCACTTCTTCAGGCCTCTATTGCAACAGGAAAGGAGTATGTTGGAAAAATTAGACAATCTTTCATAGTCATATGATTTTATGAACACAGAAATTATTCCATTTATATCCTGGACAAAGATTCTAATAACCTCATTTACCTGCTTAAGTGAGATTTTTGTCATTCTCCACTGCAAGAGCAGGCAATTAATTTGTTTGATTCTTTGGGTTTTCAGAATTGACAAGCCGAAAGCCTTATCACTGTTGTTGCATACAGCAGATATCAGTCATCCAGCCAAGGCCTGGGATCTCCATCATCGCTGGACCATGTCTCTGCTAGAGGAGTTCTTCAGACAGGTAAAGCTAGGGAAGTTCCTCTGCAGTTCTGCAGCACAGAGGGAGCGTGTAGGATTGAGCAAGGAAGTAAGAAAATATGAACACAGATCTTTTCCTTCTTCTGTGATTTTCTTGAGAACCTCTTAAATGATATGAAGCTTTCTCATCTGGCACCAGTAGCACTGGCTGTTGTGCCTCTTGGGAAGTTAGTGTCTGATACACTGCCTATAGATATAGACATTACCTACATAATAGAAATTCTAGTTTGGGAAGCTAATATGTGTTTCAGATTAGCAAAATATAAAATATGTGGTGTTCTACTTTGCTGTAGAACCATAGAAAACAGATATAGGTAGCTGTACTTTATAGAACTGTACTTATATTGTTGGGGTAGATGTGAAAAATGCATTACCCTTGCTTTAGATGAAGCGAACCGATCCAGTTTATAGCCCACAGTGGACTGCCTGTTGACAGACCCACAAATCCAGACAAATCATTAAGCTCTGTGTGATAGCTATAAGCTCCCCAAGTGACTAATTAAAAGCATTTAAAGAGCTGCCTTAAAAAAAAAAAAAAAGTAAAACTTAACAGAGCATTTAGGAGTATTTAGGATGTGTTTCACCAATATGAATTACTAAACTAAGCAGAAAACTAAGTGCTTAGTTTCTCTCCAAAGTTCAGCAACTTCATGTTTTACAGTAAATCTGAATGCGAAAAAGAAATAATAATTTTAAAAAATTCTAATGTTTTTTTTAAAATGGCGTCTGTTTTTAAAGGCATTGTGGGAATCCCTTCTTAATAAGGTCATTGGAAGAATTTGCTTTGAAATCAATCCTTTAATTTGTTTTTCAAACCAAGAATGGGTTTACTAGGTGGAAGCAGGTAGATCATACCTGCAGCTGTCTCTTGTGTTGCCACAGAGGAAGCTCATGCAAGTAGGATGATTTTTGCATACATTTTAGTGAAAACTCTGCACATATTTATGCTTTTCTAGCTCAAAACTGTGCTAGGTGTGTTAAAATACACAGCTGTGGAGTCCCCTAAAGACTGGTGAGGAAATTAAGATTAGCTAGATATGAGACCACAAAAAGCCCAAGTTTTGATCTGTTTTACACATGTAATGAAGCCAAATTATTATTATATGTTTTCATAAGAATAATTTAATTTCATCCAACAAATCCTACATTAGTTTTGAATGACAAATGCCTCTGCTTTTAGATAAAGCTTTATATAAAACTTGTATTCTAATTCCAAATTCAGATGCAGTATTAATTCCCTTTTCAGGAAACCCCTTAAGCTTACCATGAAGCATAGACTTGTGTTCATTGAAGTTATTTAGTAGGTAGATCAATAAATACATCCCTGCCTGGCAGCAGAGCAACAGCATGTGCTCTTCTCACAAGCTGAGAAGTACCACTAGCCAGAGAGGACCATAGTGATAAGAAACTGAGCTGGCCTCAGATTAGGTATTTATTTCCTTATGCTCTTCACCTGCAGATCTTCTCCTGTCCTTTCTGTTATACGCTTTGCAGAGACATAAAGTGTGACTTAACCTGTATCAGTACAGGTCCCCAGCCATTTTGGTTTCCAAGTGTTTTATGATGTGACACAGGTCTTTCTGCACCAAGTGTCCATGCTGTAGATGTGAATGATGCTTCTGAGTACAATAGGTTTTTTTTTTTACATTCAGCATGAGCATCTCTTGAAGCAAACATCTTGCAAGAATTAATTTGTTTTACTAATGCACGTTAGCTAGCCATGAGGGAGCTGCCCAAACAGCTCAGAAGTAGTCAAGTATCTCTTTGAGCAGTCAGAAAGGCAATTAGGTGTTTCTTCCTAAAGAGAATTAGACACTGGGGTTTTTAAGAGGCATAAGGAGTAAGAGAAGAATGATGATCAGGTAAGAGCTGGCTTTGAGAGATGTTTTTCCTGAGAGATACAACAGACACAGAAAAGGAATGTTACTTCCAAATATTTCTGTGTTTGGTTTCTGGTTTACCGTGGTATTTGTATATCAGACTCCTAACATAAAGCAGAATTGTTCTGCGATAGAAGAGTACTATTGCGTGTTGTTCCACCCAAAGCTCCAACAGGACTTGTGCCCCCGTTTCGTGTATATTACATTAACAAAAAGAAGAAATAATCAGCACTTCTTATGCCTACAGAATTTCTTCTCTGATTAGTTTGCTGGCTGTTTTAGCTTCCATTTGACAGTATTCAGAACACTGGCAAGAAGTTCAGCACAGTTACAGTGAGCTGCTGATTTAAGGAATTGATTCTATAGTATAGTTAACAGGCTATTTAAATTTGAATGCTCAGTGGGGAGTATTGTAACTATGTCATCCTATATATCTCCTTAGCATAAAGCAATATGTTATAGAGTGACTGAACCAAGTAAAAGGGCTTTTTGAGAACATGCAGCTTGAAAGACTGGAAAAAAATGGGGTTATAACACTTGATCTTCTGCACCATCTTGTGATGTTAGAAAAGGACTTTCAGTTCTGGAAAAGCATGTTAGGAGTTTTGTACTTAAGCACTTATGTAAAATGTTGACAATGTCAGTGTTTCCTTTGGAATAAAAAACTAATCTGCGTCTGGCCAGCCATGACCTGTGAATTCCTTATCTGAAAGACTAAAAAAAGACATGCAAAGAAGTGCACGCCCTGAAAAATCAGTCCTGACACTGATGTTTTCTCGTGAAAGGTTTGCTCTGAGAACTGAGTTCTGCTTCGCTCACTGGAGAACTTCAGTGAGAAGCATTCTTGTGCTCAAACAGGCATTTAGTTGATGCATAGAAGTACCAGGCAGGCAGGGAAAGCTCTCAGGAAAGATTCACTGGAATCAAGATGCTTAGTTCACCAACTTCTCCTTGGACTACAACTTTTCCAGCCAGACTCAAATTCTCCACAATTTCTGTTTTTAAAAAAAAAAATATCAAAACTTAATTAAAGAAAGTAAAATGAGAGGCTGTCACAGTTGTGACCGAAGATATCAAAGTGCAATGTGTCTTGTCTTTTCCTAATTTCTTCTCAATTTCATTTCTCCAGGGTGACAAAGAAGCAGAACTAGGGCTTCCCTTCTCTCCACTGTGTGATCGCAAGTCTACTATGGTTGCTCAGTCTCAAATAGGTATGTCCCTTCTGGTGCATGCAAAGTGGTGTCTTAAAAGCAAAACTTACTCCTCCGTGTGGGGCTAAGATCATGGTGATCTTTCATCATTTGGAACTATGTTAAAGAGAGGAAATAAAGCACAATGGCATGATTTGCCCCAGATCAACAGTTAAAAGTTGAGGAGCCATTAAATTTGTGGTGGTGGTTCCATGCAGTAAACAAGTTACTTCTGATGTGTCTGTAGAGATGACTACATTGCCTCGTTATGACACTACTCCATGGTTTTCTGAGCTGTGAAGATGAGGTGCACATGGCAACATGTTGTGATATGAGCATCATTGGTGGATATGACAATGTAATGTCAGTCCCTTTGCTTATCTAGGCAGAACCTATTGTATGTTTTTCCATTTAGTCCTCCTACCCTTTCCCTCCCACTGCTTCAAGCCAATCAATATTTTTCACTGAAGCCAAGCAAATAGCAAACCTTTTTCTGCTGCACTCATTCAGAAACAGAGATCATTTTACAGACTGACCAACAGCGCTTTCTCTACCTCTCCTCCAGTTATTGAGTGAAAAAATAGGAGAAGGACGAGGCAACAAGCCTGGTATTTGGTGAGAAAACAAGAGGGGATGAGTGCAGTAAAACTGGTCAGGAGGCTGGGAGCTAAAAAAGGCAATGGAAAAGGTGGATTTGTGTGTGGATTTTAATACTTAGGAAGCAAGTGAAGTAGAAGAATGTGATCTAACCTTGGCTGGAGAATAGGGTGCCAAATGGAATAACGAAAGAAAGATAACAGGGACCCTAAAAACGAGGGGACTGAGACCAGAAGCAGAAAGAGAGAGAATGTATTAAAGGAAAACAAACAGAAAATTTTAAGTATGAAATTTATCTCAAAGAACAGGGCAAAGATATCCCTGAACCTAGCAAAGTTCAGATTCGTATCTGTGGCTAGGAACCATTTCTGTTTAAAATGATTTCATTGTTCCTGTTAGACAAGCCATTCTCTGAGGGACCCCATCCTAGATTTTTCTGGCTTTGGAAGTTTAGATGGTTCAGCCAAGATTCTTGAATTTGAAAAGCCCGATGCAAGCTTGGCCTGGTTGCCAGGCTTGCAGCGTTTACTCCTCTGCAGCAGTAACCCAGAAGTGTGGGAATGCGTGTAGAGCACAGTGCAACTGCTGAGGACGTTTGTGTTCTGCCAAGCAGCTTGGTGGAGGGAAGCAGCAGCAAACTCGGAGTGCTGCAGCCTCAGCTAAACCCTCATTGAGGACTCCTGGGAGCACTACACCTGCCGCGGTGCTGTGGGAGAAGATAAACTCTCCCTCTGTCTGGCTGGTGTGGAGGGAACCGCATGTAGAGACTTCTCTTTCACATCTATTCTATCAGCTTTCAGATATGTCCCTCACTCATTAGGAGGAAGAGGAGTTGTGCTTCCCACGGGGTCCCTCTACATAGGATCATGTGTGCTTGGAAACCAGTTTTCCTTGTCTTTCTTTTTTGTGCTCCTTTGCTCAGGAAGGCCAGGAGAGACAAGAAGCTTCTGCACTGATGCCCCTTCAAGCCACTGCAAAAATAATGATCAATTAAACCATCACCAACACAATTCCACTTTATAAAAGAGGCACTCGTCGGTATGCAAAGGCAGCCTTATTTGGTCAGATGCTATTTGTCGTTACATTCAGTTTGTGCAGTTTAGTAATCCATTGACATTAACAGGCTACTCTCTATAAATCTTGCCTTCTAACATTAAAAAAATTTTGTTATCAGTCTGCTGCACGTATTGGCAGTGTCTTTCTGTAACGTCTCCTTTGTTAAATCAAAACCTCTTGTATTTTCTGGCTATCTGCTGAGGTAAGGCTTTCAAAGTTTTAGGCTAAACTCTCAGACAAGTAATCTGTTCCTGTTCATTTATTTACCTGATTAATAGCCGTAAGAAATTGTTCCCTGGAATAATAATTACTACATTTTTTTGCAAAAGCAAGTTCTTCTTGAATTCTAAATCGTGCTATTATCTGCAGCAAGCAGCCGTCAGTTCCCACAAATGAAAAACCTCTGTTCTTTGCGAAATAAAATTGTGCTCTTGGTCTGTCAGGGACAGAGCCTAGAAATCCTGTTCTGGTGGCTCGGTTTGTTTGTGGTTGCTGATTTGCTGCTCTAAGGTCACTGCAGATGCAACAACAGTGGGCAAGTATTTTTATTAACGGAAGATTTTCACAAATGCAGACTGAAGGTTTTGCAGTACGGACTTTTTCTGTGGAAATGAAGCAGTCTAACAGCAAAAAGTTTCTCAAAAGAAAGAATGTGTTTCTCTCCCGTTGGTTCACTTGATGAAGAAATTGTTCAGAGTTTAAATTGATAATTAAAAAAACCTGAGTATCAAATAATAAACCTAGGTTTTAAAACTCATTAGTGTTAATGCTAATGACTAATTTATCATCCTTTTTCTTCTTCAATAGAATGAGTGTGGTAAATATTTCTGGGCCACAGTGACGTACAGAAAGCAGAAGAGATTCAGGTCCAGAAGTCAGACTGCTTATCAGAGTAGGGGCGGCAAACAAACTGCAAAGAAAACCAGGCCAAGACTTGTATTTCCCAACAAGAATATCAGGAGTTAAAGCTTCTGTGGGTGTCTCAGACTGTAGGAAGCTTGTTTGACTGGAGATCAACAATGCCTTTGTTGTCATTGTCCTCTTTTGCAGCTGATGAATGTAGCGGCATCCTTTTATTTTTGTCCTTTGACTGACAAGAAAGAAAATTACAGCTTCGGAAAACACTGGATGAAGACGAATGAGTGCATGCTGATGATTTTTTTTTTTTGGTGGTGGGCTTTCAGGAAACTGTCCTCTAGCCATTGTTTGCCGTGGTGATGTTCTCAGGTGGAATGAATGAACACTAGACATGTGCCTGGAATCCACCCTCCACATGCAGTGTTAATTCGTAAAATCATCTTAGTCATTGGGGTACAAAAATATTTACCACATTCATTCTATTGAAGAACAAAAAGGATGGTGAAATGGTCATTAGCATTAAGAGATTTTAAAACCCAGGTTCATTATTTGATATTCAGGGGGTTTAATTAGCACACTAAATCACCATATTTAAATCACAGTGTCTTTAGGTAAGAAGAGAGAGAACATGGTGGAGGGGAGGCACTTGGCAATATGGCATAAGTTACATAATTATTATAAAAGTCTGAGGTTTTGTTTCTACGCTAGCAGATTATGTATCCCAACTTTATTACAATCCCCATTTTAAGGTAACATGGTTGAATAACTTATTCATGTTATAGGGAATAGAGGAAAAATTACCACTTATCGAAGAAAAGTTCTCCTAGTTCTTTGAGTTTGTTTACCTGTGGTCCCTTGTGTCACCTCTGCCTGTCTTTGTTGATGAGATGCAAGACTTCTCCCAGGGAAAAGATGCTTTCTTTTTTGTTTCTTAGATGCTTTCACCTGTACCTTTTGTTTATGTGCAAATGTGGAGTATCTCAGGAAGCGTATCCCACTACCCCACTGCCAGAGTTAGAGAGACATTCATGTGTCTAATATCCAAGATTTGCATGTCTCAGGATTGTTAGCGGTGATGGAGCAAATGACAGTGGTATTACTTGCCCAGCAGAAGTGACAAGGTACCATGGCTTGGGTTTCTTTGGTCATTAAGAAGTAAAGAGACATATAAACAGGTGGACACACATATGTATGTAAATCAAGTTCTCATCCTCAGGATTCCTGTGGCACACTTAGCACTGTTCTCAGTCAGTACAATTTCCAGTGTTTTAAAAAATTGTGTGAAGTTTGCTGGGATCATCTGGATTGTGATCCAGCACACAATTTCCTGTCATGGCTTTATACTGCATAGATTTCTGGTTAACGCTCTGGGAGGAAGGAGGTTCTTTTTTCCCTAAATTTGAATAGATAAGACTGTCTCAGTGTTACACATGATTCCGATGTTCAGGTAAGACTGAATGCGTATTTTCTCCAGATTTACAGAATGTTAGTATGAAATTCTGAGAACTTGCAAGTAACTTTTTAAATTTGATTAGGCTTGAAAATACACTTAATTACCTATCCTTCCAGAAATTTAGCAAAACTCAGAGGAGGGAAATGGAACTAGCAGGATGCTTAACTGCTTTGCACTCAAGATGTGGATCAAAGCATCTGTGAATTCAGGTGCCTGGCCCACATGGTTTCATCTCCTTCTGTTGTTCTGTTATCACCTAGAATCGCCAGGGTCTGTCGTAGAAATGTATCATGATCCAGTCAGAGAAATGATGATGTTATGAATGTATAATTAATAGTTGATAATTACCAAATCTTTAAAAATTTTAACAGTAAGGAAAGACCTGCATCCTGATGCGCCTTAGGAGGGATTAAGCACATGATTGTTTTCTTGGCGACCTGCAGCACTAAGAAATTTGCTGAGTGAAGTGGTAAAATGAACATAAGAAATAGCCCTTGGCCCAGGTGAGAACTTAGGGGAGAGTGTGAGGTACTGTAGGCTCCTCACGCTCACATTTTTTCCATGCAACTTGGATTTTCCTTCATCTCATGAGCTTATGGCCACAGAGCCCTTCAGTCTGCCCTTCCCAGCATTCAGATCAGAGCCATGTTCATCTCTGCCAAACTGTATACTGAAGTAGAAATTATTTGGTCCTTTGTTTTTTCCTTTCCTTATATTGAAAAATGGGGGGGAAGCATATAATTTTGTTTTATTATCAACAAGAACAAGCTGACTGAGCACTGAGGAGAGAATATTCACAGCAACCCACTGATACGCCATAAGGGTTTGCCTGTAACTCCACACCAGCAAAGCTTACCAGTGGTATTACTGTTATATTAATTTTCTGCTTTTACAGAGTTCATCTTTGAAACTGGGTTTTATCCAAATCCGCTAGGAATTTGGCTTAAATATCACACTCCTTGTATAAAACGAGTTCTGATGCATCTGTTTATGTTCTGATTTGTCACAGTTTCTTTCCAGTGTTTAAGTAGGTACCTTTTATTGCATACTATATCCAGGCTCTTGGGTCAAGGATTAATGTATAATTCCGTTTTCCCTTTCTGGTATTTGCCTCTCCCTTTTTCAGGATATAGTTTTTTTACTCTGTCTTTTAGAGTGTGGTTGTCTGCGATCACTGAAGCAGACTCTCCATAAATCCTCCTCTTGCTTGCTTGACTCTGCTTGTGTTTCTGCTCAGGTTTCATTGATTTCATTGTGGAACCCACTTTTACTGTGCTGACCGACATGACTGAGAAGATCGTGACTCCGCTCATCGATGAAGCTTCCCGCTCCGGCATGTCCGGGTTCAGGCGTTCCAGGTGGATAACCGTGCACTCTCTCTCTTCACGCTGCACATGCTGCCATTGCACCCAGCTGCCCCAGTGCCCTCCACAGTACATGTCTTTCGTGTGGCTTAAATATGCATATCTGCGTTGCCAACGCTGCAGCTCACCTCGTGATGTGACTTTGCTGCAGGGAAACTCCAGCCCAGGGGAGGGCAAAGAGGGAAGGCTGGCGTGAACCTGAGCCGTGCCTCCAAAGGCAGGGAGCACAAATGGTTGTAGCCATGCAATCAGGTGAACTTTAGTGCGCTCTCAGTCACTAATGCCAAAGACAAGGTGGAGGGAGTTGTTGGGAGGCACTCAGTTCTTCATGTCTAGAAGTATAAATGGGATTGAAATACAGAAGAGGACTGAGAAGTATAAGCATACTTTAGTGACAGTTATGCAAATGTGTGAAGTAGCACCAGAATTCACCTGGAGTTTAAGAAGTCTTGGCCCATTCAACCTGCTCTGCTGTTGTAGAGAAACCACTCTTTTAGTAGTTTGTTGGACAGACCATGTCTTGGGATTCAAATGCCACATGGCTAGCGCTCCCTAGAGCAGGGCTACCAAGCAAGGATTCCCTCTCCTAGGTGACCTTTTCTCTTGGGCTGTTGCACAAAGAGCAAGCATTAATATCTTTCTATGTCAGTTATCTTGCTGCCTTTATTAAAATGTGCACAATGAAGTGTCTGTCCTTGAAAGACAACTGCATGGTCAGTAATTGAAGTGAGTGCCTGGTTTCGGTCTCAGCTGAAGTCACCAAGCCCTGGACAAAGGTGGTCCTCCTGTCCTGTACCTAATGGCACCCACTGGTGAATTTTAGGAGGTTCCTCCTTTGACATATTTGATTTCTAGAATTGTCTGACTCTCCAATAAGAGTGAAGATGCACAACAAAGGTAATGGCAACACTTCGAGTGATTCTATTTCTTAGGGACTATGGACACCAAAAAATAAGCATGGAAAAGCTGCCCTTTATTTCTAATACTGGCTCAGGTTGTGCTGTTTGCTTTAACATCAGTTGTCCTGCGTTGGGAAGAGGGGAAGGATAAAGGAAGCTTAGTGTTTGTTTTTCTTGGTTGACTCTGTTATCTAGACTTACAGCCATTATTTCTTCTCAGCTGTATTTGGATGTATGGGATACTCATTTCTTCTGTGTTTTGTGATCTTGTGCCCCAGTCTGAATAGCATTAGTCCCTCCGAAGTTAAAAGATCAAGTGTCAAGAGCACTGGGTCCGAAGGAAGTGCCTCACTCAACTGCTCCATACTCACTGTGGACTTCAAATGTTTTAAAACCACCTGGACTGAGGTGGTGCAGCAGAACCGGGAGAAATGGAAAGCTCAAGCCACCAAAGGTAACAGGCAGGCTTCTTAGTGAAAGAATAAAAATTCTTTTGACCTCTTCTTTTTCAAGCTCTTCTTTAATGAAATTATTCTCCGAGTAAGCACTATTAGTTTGAAAGAATCTCCTTTTCAGGGTCAAAAACCTACACTGAATTCAGAAAGATAGGAATATGGTGACTCATCTGTGCCTGATGCTCTTCTTACGTCTGTGTAAGTACGTAATGGAGAGGATGTGGACAATGGAAGGGAAAAAAATAATTGTAAGGGAGGACCCCTAAAGTCATGAGTCAGACTCAGGGTGGGTGCCAAAGTAGCTGGAACAGCATTTGTAGAGATAGCTTATCAATTTCTCACTGTTCATTTTCAAAGACGTACGGACGATAGTTCGAGGAAAAGGACAGGGTATTCTGGATTCACAGCTGGTTTCATATTTCTAGTGATAACTTGGATGATGAATTGAGAGCTATGCTGCAAACGCTCATGCATTTGACTGCAAATATTTCAGAAGAATGTGAGGGCTGTGTTGGTCGAAAGTTGACCAGGGTTCAATGTTGTCATTCTATTGAAAAAAAAACCCAAACAAACAACAAAAAAACAAACCCAAAACAAACAAGAAAACAAACCACAAAACAGTCCTTGCTTCTAAGACCCCTCTGGCATTCTTCCTGTCATTCCGGCCTTAACAAGGCCCCTCACAGCAACGCTGTGTCCAGTTTTGGCCACTGTAGTTCAGGAAACTTATGGACGAGTTGCAGACAATAGAGAGTCCAGCAATGCAAATGATGGTAACTGTTGTATATAGCTGAGAAGGTTTGTAGCTGAAAGCAGTTTTCTGAAGACTACTGCATCTGCAAAATAAGGGAACTCTTTTTTTATTCAAATAAGCTGGGCTGTTAAGAGGAGAAAAAGTTGGCAGGTGATTATAACCTGATAATAGGTCAGACATTGGCAGACCTCTGTTGTTGGAGATCTTTCAGAACTTGAGAGTCATCTGTTGACAATGGCTTAGCTGTAACTGCCCCTTGCCTCCAGGGGCTGGATGATTGCCCGAGGTCTCCTTGAGCCCTGCAGTGATTTAGACCAGCTTTGGAACCAAAAAAAGGAGGAATGTATCACTCATTATTTTTTTTTTTGTCTTCACAAAACTGTGATACAGCTTCTCTGAGCTGAGTGCTTGTTACGCAGACCCTTATTTAACAGAGTGTTGTATGTCGTGGTTTAACCTGGCCAGCAACTAAATGCCAGGTAGCTGCTCACTCACCCTCTCCCACCCTCTGGGGAATGGGGAAGAGAATTAAAGAGGAAAAGGGAAGGAGGCTGGTGGGTTGAGATAAAACGATTTTTAATGATAATAATAATAAAAATTAAAAGTAATAATAATATATGGATACATATAGATTGATAACAATATATACAAACAAGTGATGCACAGTATAATTGCTCACTACCCGATGACAAACGCCTATTCTGTCCCAGCAAGCGATCCCAAAACAAGTAAGTCCTGAAACTGCAATCCTGGACAAGTGAGAGGCCCAAAAAGAGAGTGAGAGAGAGCTCTGAGGGACTAAGAGTCTGAGAGAGTCCCCCCAGAAGAGAGAGAGAGAGACCAATCCCAACTTCCCAGTCAACCCTCATATATATACCAGGCATCACATTGATGATTTGGAATATTCAATTGGCCAATCTGGCCCTCAACTGTAAGTCTAAATTCAAATCATAAGAGGAGTTGTGGGCCCTTTGTCCTGGCCATGATCCTGTTGTGCTCCTGCACACTGGCAAAACATGGGAATCTGAAAGGTCCTTGATGTCTCAGTGCCAACTATAAACATCAGCACACCATCAACATTCTTCTCATAACAAATCCCATACTTATTCAAAACCACTGAGTTATTCTAAGTGCTAAAAAGAAAAAACTAACTGTCCCAACGGAAACCAGGACATTGTATATCATATAAGTGGAAGGAGTTGGATTTTAATGTATTACATGGCCTTGGCTTCAGGGCCGATGGAAGATGTGGCGTAATTCTATTTGCCAGAGCAGATTGGTCTTCCTCTCCAACTGAAAGGTCTATCTAAAGGTGTGGGAAAGCACATGTTATTATTAAAATGAAATTTTCCTTTGTGATTCAAACTTGCCATTCAGGTAAAATCTTTCATGAAAATGAAAACAAAAACGTCTGCTTATTTGCCAGGGGCTTTTTTTAGCTTTTTTTTTTTTTTTCTTGAGTTGATATTTACTGTTTCACGTTCTTTGTGGACCAAACAAATTAACGCTAACTAAACAAGCAAAGCATTGAACATGGCCAATGTCTCACAGTATAGCATCGTTGAGTGAATGAAGCCAATACAGTTAACTAGTTTTAAGGATTTCGTTTCAACATGTACCATATGTATTTGCTTGTCTACTAAGGACCTACTAGATAAAAATCCTATATGCAAGAGAGACCTGTGAGGAAATAAATAAAACGTATTTTACATTTCACCTAAAATAAATATATAGAGTAGATCATAATCGATTCTGGCTATTTAACTTCTAAATGTGCTTAGTACCCCCTTGCAGCGACTGCTTTGCATAAAGATGTTTTTCCTAAGTGTGCACCTGCAAATGTCAAGTGGATGTGCACACATTGCTGAACTAATGCTGCTACTGGTAATATGTATTGATGCAGTATTTCATATCCATTCTTTACAAAGTATCCTGACAATAAATGTTTGATTATTAATACTTTAGCCGGAGAGGAAAATGTTTTATTTTTTTATTGCCTCGTAAAACAGTCCTTCCAGCAGCTCCCAAGCACGTAGTCTGTGGAAGAATTTGCTGATCGCTCAAAAGCAGAGAGCTCCCAAGTCTGCATTATTAGACATGGGAGCCCTTGAGTAGGTCCTTTCATCTCTACCTTTCTGACAGCCTTTAGCCCTGAAGAGTTGATTTACTTTGTTTTTGCCAAACTTCATTGCCAATAACTTGGATCAGGGCCCCAGTTTATGGGTCGAAGATTCAGAATGCAGTCTCAGCTTCTGTTCATCTGAATTCATTGACTTTCACATATTTTCTGAGTTTCTGGGTGCATTTAGCAGAACGCTCATGCATGTGTTTTTTTTATACAAACGTATGGCTCAGCATACCTTTGCACGGGCTGAGGACTAAGGAACCATTCTTCAACTCAAAACCTTTGCTCAGCTGCTGTCTTGCTCCTGACTTGCAGCAGGTCCCTGCACCCCCCTCCATCTGCCTTACCTGCAGGGCCTGCTGCACAGCAGGAGTTTAAATCGCTGACCCTCGTCAAACCAGTGTCTTGCAATGCATCAGGATGCTCTGCCAATAAAAATAAGAATTATTAAGAAAAGACAGATAAATCGTTTATCTGTTGATTGACAACAAACAGCAACTGGGGATCAGAAGGGAAGGAAGCCTTATTATTATTATTATTATTATTATTATT